GGTGGTTCACACCCATAATCCTAGCTACTCAGGAGGCTGAGATCTGAGGATTGTGGTTCAAAGCTAGCATGGGCAGGAACATCCTTGATAATCTTTTTTTTTTTTTTTTTTGGTCCAGTCGTGAGGCCTGAACTCTGGGCCTGGGCGCTGTCCCTCAGCTCTTCAGCTCAAGGCTAGCGCTCTACCACTTGAGCCACAGCACCACTTCCGGCTTTTTTCTTTTTGCTTATGTGGTGCTGAGGAATCGAACCCAGGACCTCACACATGCAAGGCAAGCGCTCTACCACTGAGCCACCTTCCCAGCCCCATCCTTGATAATATTATCTCCAATTAACTACCAGAAAACTGGAAGTAGTGCTGTGGAATCAGCTCTTCAGCTCCAGGCTATTGCCCTACCACTGAGCCACAGCATTACTTCCAGGTTTTTCTGCTTATGTGGTGCTGAGGAATCAAACCCAGGGCCTCATGCATACAAGGCAAGCACTCTACCACTGATCCACCTTCCTAGCCCTGTGGCATTTCTTTATTTACCATTTTTAAATACAATTTTTTTTGTGATTGGAGATAGATTGAATTTATTTATAATAATGAGAGCAACATTTGTGTGTCTGCATACAGATTTTTTGTTGTTGTTGTTGGTTGTGGGGTTTGAACTCTGGGCCTGGGCACTGTCCCTCAGCTCTTCAGCTCAAGGCAAGGGCTATACCATTTGAGCTGCAGTGCCACTTCCAGTTTTCTGGTAGTTAACTGGAGATAAGAGTCTCAGATTTAGCCGGGCGCTGGTGGCTCACGCCGGTAATCCTAGCTACTCAGGAGGCTGAGATCTGAGGATCGCAGTTCAAAGCCAGCCCAGGCAGGAAAGACTGTGAGACTCTTGTCTCCAATAAACCACTAGAAAACCGGAAGTGGCGCTGTAGCTCAAGTGGTAGAGCGCTGGCCTTGAGCTGAAGAGCTGAGGGACAGCGCCCAGGCCTAGAGTTCAAGCCCCATGACCCACCAAAAAAAAAAAAAAAAAAAAAAGAGTCTCAGAGTTGCCTGACCGGGCTGGCTTTGAACTGTGATCCTCAGATCTCAGCCTCCTGAGTAGCTAGGATTACAGCGTGAGCCTGGCACAGACTTTTTTAAAACACATTTATTCAATACACTTGTATCCTAATTTATTTTCTTTCTTTCTTTTTTTTGGGTCCGGTCATGGGGCCTGAACTCTGGGCTTGGGCGCTGTCCCTCAGCTCTTCAGCTCAAGGCTAGCGCCCTGCCACTTGAGCCACAGCGCCACTTCTGGCTTTTTTCTTTTTGCTTATGTGGTGCTGAGGAATTGAACCCAGGGCCTCATGCATGCAAGGCAAGCGCTCTACCACTGAGACACCTTCCCAGCCCCTCCTAATTTATTTTCATAGTGTTGTTTTGTCCATTCAAAATGAGCTTGTTTTATGTTGCAATTAAAACGCTTTCCTTTTTCTCTTTCTTTTATTTAAGCCAAATGAAAACGTCAGGTGCTTGAGCACTGTTGGCCATTTTGGGTTTGAGTGTTTTCCCTATCAGCTGGTGAACAGGTCTCTGCAGCGAGGGTTCTCTTTTAACATTCTGTGTGTGGGTAAGTGACAAACCACACTGTGTTTACTTTTCTCCTGCTCTGTTGCTACTTGATATTGCAGCTTGATATTGGTAACAGGAATTCAAAACCATTTTTTATGTTTGTACAGATTTCCATCTCTTCATCCATATTATTGTAACATTCTTACTTGAAAATTTCAGAGTTCTTCAAAATCTTACATAGCTTAGTGTTTATTTTCTTTCTATACTGTATTAATGACTGGGGTGGCAGTCATTAGCATGTAAGTTTCTAGAAACACCAGGGATTTTATTTATTTGCTTGAAGTTGTATGGTTTTCAATTGACTAATTATTACTGTATACACTTATAGAGTAAAATGTGAGGTTTGGTATTTGTATACAATGTCAAATGATTTAATCCTTGATCAGCATGCTTATAGCTCCATTTACCTCTCTCTTTTTTTTTGTAGTGAGACATTTGAATTTCATTCTCTTAGTTTTTAAATTAAATTAGTGTTGTTCTGAACTTGAAAAGGCTGTTTAAGGGGTTACAGTTTAACATGTACTTCCTGTTTGCATTCACCCCTTCCATCATTCTCCCTCATAACCTCCGATCCTCCCTCTCCCAGGCTCCTCTTACACTTCTCACTTCCTCTGCCACATGTGTGCATCGCGTGTTCTCAGATATTTGTCCTGTTTCCTTTTTCACTCACACATCTCCTCCCACCACCCTGTTCTACAATCTTGAAGTCATTTGGAATCACACACTTTATTGTTAACTGTAGTCTCCTTGAGATGTTCATGATCCCCAGACTTATTTGTCTTATTTACTTGAAACTTTGAACTTCTGTGTGTGTGTGTGTGTGTGTGTGTGTGTGTGTGTGTGTGTGTATCAGTTGTGGGGCTTGAACTCTGAGCCTGGGCACAGTCCCTTAGCTCTTCAGCTCAAGGCTAGCACTCTACCACTTGAGCCACAGCGCCACTTCTGGTTTTTCTGGTGGTTAATTGGAGATAAGAGTCATAAGGATGTTCCTGCCTGGGCTGGCAATCCTCAGATCTCAGCCTCCTGAGTAGCTAGGATTACAGGTGTGAGCTACTGGCTCCCGGCTTTTTGTACCTTTCTTTAATCAACAACTGTCCATGCTTTCGCCAGCCTTTAACCACCATTGTATCTTTCTTTCTGGGAATTTGACTTTTTTGGATTTTGGGGGGAATCCTTTAAGCCACCCTTTAAGGGTTCAGAGGATTACTTTTTTTTTTTTTTTTGCCAGTCCTGGGGCTGAACTCAGGGCCTGGGTTCTGTCCCTGACATTCTTTTGCTTAAGGCTAGCACTCTACTACTTGAGTCACAGCGCCACTTCTGCTTTTTTCTGTTTATGTGGTACTGACGAATTGACCCAGGGCTTCATGCATGCTAGGCAAGCACTCTACCACTGAGCCACATTCCAAGTAACACTTTTTTTTTTTTGGTGCTGGTCTTAGGGCTCGAACTCAGTGCTACCTAAGAGCTCTCCCTGAGCCTCCCCCCACACTTTTTTTGGTCAGTCGTGAGGCTTGAACTCTGGGCCTGGGCACTGTCCCTCAGCTCTTCAGATAAAGAGAGCACTCTACTACTTGAGCCACAGTACCACTTCTGGTTTTCTAGTGCTTTATTGGAGATAAGAGTCTCATGGACTTTCTTGTCTCGGCTGGCTTTGAACCATGATCCTCAGATCTCAGCTAGGATTACAAGCCTGAGCCACCAGTGCCCGGCTCCTGAGCCTTTTTCTTTTTGTGCTTATGGCTAATGCTCTAGCATTTGAGTCACAGCTTTACCTCTTCCTCCTCCTCCTCCTCCTTTTCTTCCTTCCATTCCTCTTTCCCTTCCCCCTTGTTCTTTTTGGTGGTTAAGGGGAGATAAAAGGCAGGCTGGCTTTGAACCACAATCCTCAGATTTCAGCCTCCTGAGTAGCTAGGCTTACAGGTGCTGGGCCAGAGAGTCACTTCTAACCCATGATCTTTTTTTTTTTTTGGTCCAGTCATGGGGCCTGAACTCTGGGCCTGGGCGCTGTCCCTCAGCTCTTCAGCTCAAGGCTAGCGCTCTACCACTTGAGCCACAGCGCCACTTCTGGCTTTTTTCTTTTTGCTTATGTGGTGCATGCAAGGCAAGCGCTCTACCACTGAGCCACCTTCCCAGCCCATAACCCATGATCTTATGATGATCTTTCTGTTCATGACAGGGGAAACTGGAATTGGAAAAACAACACTCATAAATACATTGTTTAACACTAATCTGAAAGACAGCAAGTCCTCACATTTCCACTCCACTGTTGGACTTAAAGTGAAGATATATGAGCTCCAGGAAAGCAATGTGCACCTGAAGCTGACTGTGGTGAAAACTGTGGGGTTTGGGGACCAAATAAACAAAGAGGCCAGGTGGGTGTCTCATGTTTCAAGGAATTTACCTCTTTTCCTAGGCTAAATAGCAATGTCCTTCCAAGATGATTGCATGTTTCCTTCTAGATTTTAATTTTTTCCTCATCAAGTAATGTTCTTATTAAATTGATGCCTTTACATACCCAGCTGTCTGATTTTCTTACAAGATTTAAAATGAGCAAATTACAACAAAAATAGTTATTTATGTAGTTTCTAGTAGCTTTAGCTTATTTTCTTTTCTTCTTATGATATTATAAGGAAAATTAATAGTTCCTATATCAGATTTATACTCTCTGTGATAGAGGAAAATAAATGGAGGCAAAGAAATATGCATTTTTTGGACCAGTCCTGGGGCTTGAACTCAGGGCCTGGACATTTTCCCTGACCTTCTTTTGGCTCAAGGCTAGCACTTACTACTTGAGCCACAGTGCTACTTCAGTTTTTTCTGTTTATGTGGTACTGAGGAATTGAACCCAGGGCTTCATGCATGCTAGGCAAGCACTCTACTGCTAAGCCACATTCCTGGCCAAGAAATGTTTTTAGATTCCTACTTTTTTTGTGTGTGTGCTGGACCTGGGGCTGCTCAGGGGCTGGGTGCTGTTCCTGAGCTCTTTAAGACTCTTGCTCTACTACTTTGAACCTCAGCACCATTTCTGGTTTTCTGGTGGTTAATTGGAGATAAGAATCCCATGGACTTTCCTGCCTGGGCTGGCTTTGAACTCAGATCCTCAGATCTCAGCCTCCTGAGTAGTTATGATTATAGGCATTAGCCACTGGCACCCAGCTTGCCTAGTTTTTTTTTCTAAAGCCAATGTGAGAAACTGTTTAGTATACATATATATTAATTCTTATTAAATGTTGAAAAACAGATTTGTATGTTGTTAATCTGTTATGCTATTTTAAAACATAATTTTAGCTACCTACCAGTGGTTGAGTACATCGATGCTCAATTTGAGGCCTATCTTCAAGAAGAACTGAAGATTAAGCGTTCCTTCTTTGAGTATCATGATTCTCGAGTCCACGTGTGCTTATACTTCATTTCACCCACTGGACATTCTCTAAAGACCCTTGATCTGTTAACCATGAAGAGCATTGACAGTAAGGTATGTTTAGCAAATCTGCCAGCCTTACAAGACTTAATATGTGTTTTGAGATGATAATCTATTATAAAAGCATCTGCTTTGTTTGTAATTTGTATACATATTTCAATTTTTTCCTTTTAATCTTGACAGCAATTGTTTGAATTTTCTAGTATTTCCATAACAAAATGCCACATAACAAAAATTAAAAAAATCATTTTCTTGTAGTCCTATAGGCTGGAAGTCCGGGCTGGAAGCTCAAGATGTCAACAGACTTTTTTCTGTCTGCCGGAGGGCTGCCTCCTTGCCTCCTCACACTGGGGCTTTCTCTGTGTCTCCTTAAGGACACTGATCTGGGTTGATCATCACAGTGATGGCCTCATGTTGACTTAATTACCTCCTTATAGACTCTACCTACAATACCAGATGGAGGGGGTTAGTGAGGGCTTCAACAGAGGAGCTTGGAGGAGGGACCATGGACCCTAGATAGGACTCAACCTCAGGTTACTTTCTAGACAAATTTAATAAAGAATTAAACCTGTCCGCTAAGGGAGATGCTGTTAAGCACAACTAAAATAGAACTTAATTAATTTTTCTTCGATTAAATGCTAATTCAGTTCAAGCTTCATTGCATGTAGTATGGGCATCAATTTTATGAGGGTTGTAGGGTAAAGATAATACCATGAATCTCTGCATGGTGTGAACCATGCGGCTTTTCTGACTCTGGCTACAAGTCCTACCAGAGCTGACTCAAGATGCAGGAACAGGCAGGCAGCTACTATCTGCTATGTGAAAAGAGCCAACAAAATAAAACTCCTTTAACAAAAGCTTGGGAACTATGGGGACTTCCTTTTAACAGGCTGCGTATCTCAGACTAAACAAATGGACAACCTCTTTGTGGCAAAGTCTTGTAAAGGCTAGATCTTGGGGTGGGAGAACTGGATAAACACTAGTCTGTGAGGATAAAGGCACTAGACAGGGTTAAGGACATTATCTCTTCCCTGAAATTCTCTCTCCAAGATTAAGTGCTTGATTAATCATTTATTCTGTAGTCAGGGGCACGATTTTTTTTCTTTTTTTAAATTAAAAAAAATTGTGGCTGGTCCTGGGGCTTGAACTCAGAGGTGCTATCCTTAAGCCTCTTTGTGCTCAAGGCTAGCACTCTACCACTGGAGCCACAGCACCACTTCCAGCTTTCTTTGAGAAGTTTATTGGAAATAAGGGCCTCATGGACTTTTCTGCCCAGGCTGGTTTTGAATTGCGATCCTCAGATCTCAGCCACCTAGTGTGTGAGCCACTGGCACCCAGCTTGGTTTTATCTTAATCTTATGGCCATCTGTTGAAGTGTTCCTGAGTATTAAGCTGTCTTTACAGGAAGCACATTTCCACCTCAGGTATGACATGCAGGACATGGAAAGCTCCTACTTCTTACTGTGAGTCATTCATGATCACTAGAGCAAGACATTCCAAAAATCTACCTAAGTTTGAATCTACCTTAGAAAGTCTGCTTATTTACTGTGCTTATTTACTTGTATATACTGAAATTACATTTGTGTACATTGAACTTTAAACATCTATGTTATAATATTTTGGATTTTTGTAAGGATTTAAAAAGTGTGGTTTGGGACATCTAAAAAAGAGCAATTTCCTAAAATCTGATGTTTATTTATTCCCACAGTAATGCTGATTTTTTAATATCTGTAGCTATGATCTAATTAGATAGCCTAACAGTAGTATAGTATACTTTTTATGTTTTCATATTGTTATTTTTTTCTTTTTGCTTTTTTTTTGTTGGTTGTGGGGCTTGAACACTGGGCCTGGGTGTTGTCCCTGAGCTCTTCTGCTTGACGTGAGCCTCTACCACTTGAGCCATAGCGCCACTTCCTGTTTTCTGAGTGGTTTATTGGAGATAAGAGTTTCATGGGCTTTTCCTGCCAAAGCTGGCTTTGAACCCGAGATCCTCAGATCTTAACCTTCTGAATAGCTAGGATTACAGGTGTGAGCCACTGGCACCCAGCTTGTTCTGACTTTTATAACTAAAGATAATAATAAAAAATGGCAGTTAGACAAATAGTTAACTTCAAATCCCACTCCTTAAACTTTAAATTCCTTAACTCCAAATGTGTTAGAAATGTGAGATTTTTAGAAGTACAAGATTGAGACTTCTAAATGTGAATTCTGGTAAAGATCAATCTTCTAAGGGAATGTTGATTTTGTACTAACAATTCTGTAAATAAGGCTTAACCATCACTAAGTAGCTATATATATTTATTTCCAAAGGCAATAAGACTTAAACTGCAAAATATAGGGTGAACAATAAGCCCTTCAGGGTGAGATTCTGTGTGTTTCCTTTCTTTATAGGTCAACATTATACCGTTGATTGCCAAGGCCGACACAATTTCTAAAAGTGATTTGCAGAAGTTTAAGAGTAGGATAATGCATGAATTGAACAGCAGTGGTGTCCAATTGTATCAGTTCCTGGAAGACGATGACGCAGCCGCTCAAGCAAACACCTCAACAAGCGTAAGTGCCTAACCTGGGGTATTAACAGAAGTGGCCAATGATATATGAGTTCTACTGCAATATTTGTGTTTGTCCTCTGTATCTGACAAACAGGCAGGAAACAATGTATTCCCCCCCTCCAAAGACCACTGTAGGAAATAATGTAATTTTCCTCCCAAAGTCCACTGTAAGGAAATAATTTTTAAAAATGTTTTCCAAGAATCAGTTAATCAAAAACAGATTTCTTTAGATTGAATTCACATACCAAAAGCTTCACTTATTTAAAGTATATAATTTATTCACTTTTAATACATTCACAGTCACCTTGGCAATCAGTTTAAGAACATTTTCTTCATTCTGTAGAAGCAGGAAAAAGTATAGGTAAGCATTTAAACTCAAATTAGCATATATTTCTATTTCTTTTTCTTTTTTTGGTCAGTCGTGGGCCTTGAACTCTGGGCCTGGGTACTGTGCCTCAGCTCTTCAGCTCAAGGCAGGCATTCTACCACTTGAGCCACAGCACCACTTACAGTTTTCTGGTGGTTTCTTGGAGATAAGAGTCACCCGGACTTTCCTTGCCCGGGCTGGTTTTAAACCATGTTCCTCAGATCTTAGCCTATGAATAGCTAGGATTACAGGTGTGAGCCACTGGTGCTTGGCTATCAAATTAGCAAATATTTCTGTAAAAGAAATCTCATCACAGAATCTTCTCCTTTCCCCCTCCACCTCATGCTGTTTCCCCAGTGAGCTCCCCCTTTATTCACTATTATTATCACCATCCTCATTTTAGGTCTAGACTCTGGAAATAAGCAAAAGCAAGTGATATTTGGCTTTTGAGGCTTGGTTTATCTTTCTCAACAGGATGACTATTGTTATGCAAATGACATAATTTTAGTTTTCTTTATGGCTAAGAAATACTCCTTGGTATGCACCTCTATCTATATATCTACATACACACACACATTACCTTTATCCATTCATTCATTGGTGGGTACTTATGTACTCCTGACATTGCATCTAGAATATAATAGGTAATTGATAAATGTTAATTCCATTTTCTTCTCTTATTTCATATATTAACATACTTAAAACCAAATACATTTATTAGTTGAGAAACTGAGTAGTATATTTTCTTTATTAAAAATCTTCTTTATGGGCTGGGAATGTGGCTTAGTGGTAGAGTGCTTGCCTAGCATGCATGAAGCCCTGGGTTTGATTCCTCAGTACCACATAAACAGAAAGTCAGAAGTGGTGCTATGGCTCAAGTGGTAGTGTGCTAGCCTTGAGTAAAAGAAGCTCAGGGACAGTGTCTAGGCCCTGAGTTCAAGCCCCTAGAATGGCAAAAATAAATCTTCTTTATGTCATATCATGAGTATTTTGGCCTCTCCTACATTGTATTTCTAGAAGCTGAACTATAGGGAATCCTAATATAGAATAATTTTTTTCTTGAGCAACTAATAAATAAATGTTATTCTGGCATTTGACATAATGTCAAAACTTAAACCTTAGCATTTCCCCTTTATTGATAAATTTATATTTTAGGCAATACTAAGATGACACTCTTTGTGTTTACATCCTGGAACTGATCCATGCAAAAATCAACTAGCACAGAGGTTCTGTGAAGTATTAAAATCACATTCAGGGTAGATCCCTTACTTGATTAAATATATCATGATATTATTATTATTAGTTTTTAGTCCGGTCGTGGGCCTGAGCTCTGAGCCTGAGTGCTGTTCCTCAGCTCTTCAGCTCAAGGCTAGCACTCTACCACTTGAGCCACAGCGCCACTTCTAGCTTTTTTTTCTGCTTATGTGGTGCTGAGGAATCGAACCCAGGACCTCATGCATGTAAGGCAAGTGCTCTCCCACTGAGCCACCTTCCCAGCCCCCCATGGTATTATTTTTTAAATATGTTTTTTTATTGTAGAAATAGTGTACAGAGGGGTTACAGTTACATGAGCAAGGTAATGAGTACATTTCTTATTGAGCATTGTTACCTCCTCCTTTGTTTTTCCCCTCCCAACCCTTTCCTCCCTACTTCCCCAACTCCTTCCTCCCTCCCCCCCACAAGTTGTAAAGTTCGTTTTCAACATAGTTCTTGTACATCTCATTGTTGCAATGGGTCAACCTGTATCCCTATTTAAGCATTTTGTTTTTTTCCCCTCCCCTCCCCAAATTAGAAAAGTCTATATACAAGATGCAGGGCACCAGAATTAAATATAGTGAAAACAGGGGTTATACTATATATCATGATATTTTTACCTGTGTCATTTTTATAACAAGAAAAAGAATGACAACTAATCCATATTATTTAAGGAACTCAGTTTATATTCTTCCTATTTCTAGGGCCTGTTGCCTTTTGCTGTGGTGGGCAGCATGGAGGAGGTGAAAGTCGGGAAGAGGATGGTCAGAGGTCGCCACTACCCTTGGGGAGTTTTGCAAGGCAAGTATGATGAGAGTGAGCATGCTCTGTAATGATTACACCAAATACACATTATATGCCTGTGTAGTCTCAAGCAGCTTTTCCATTTGAACTAGTATTGGTAACTCTTGGTAAGCTGTGAGCTAATAGTTATTAATGAGGAGTGTGAGGAAGGGTGGAATAGAGGACCGATTGATCAATGCAGGGTCCATACATAGATGTAGACGTCACAGTGAAATATATTAGTTTGTACAAGTATTGAATATGAGTGAAGAAATAAATTAAGTACACACACATGCACACAGTAAATGCCCAGTCCAAGCTTAACATAAAGTTGATAAAGTAAAATGAGGAATTAATTATTTGTTGCAACCTGGATGAAATGGGAGCTCATTCTGCTGAGTGGAGCAAGTCAGGCACAGACAGCAAGCATCATATGATCTCACTTCTACATGGAATCCCAAACCCTGGACTTTTGGATGGTGTTTACTGGAGGCCAAGGATAGTGGGTGGGGTGGGGAAAGGGTTGCCATCTCTATTAACTGGCAGTTAGGAGCAAGAAGCTCCTAAGTTGTACAGAATGCTGACTGCAGACAGATGGAATGTACTATACATCTCAAGAAGTTTGAAAAAAAGATCTGAGAACTTTACCATAAAGAAATAAAAATTGGGGACTCTAGGCATTCACACACAGTGAGTCCAAAGGAGAATACTCTTAGGGAAGGAACACACAGGTACAATGCCTATGTGCCTCTGATCATATAAAATAATATGTATCAAAAATGAACTCTAGGAAATGGAAATAAGAATTTTTTTCGTTTGTTTTACTTATTTCTTTTTCTTTTCTTTTTTGCCAGACCTGGGGCTTGAAGTCTGGGCCTGGGCGCTGTCCTTGAGCTTTTGTGCTCAAGGCTAGTGCTGTACCACTTGAGCCATAGCTTCACTTCTGGCTTTTTGTGGTTAACTGGAGATGAGAGTTTCATGGACTTTTCTGCTTGTTCTGGCTTCATACCACGATCCTCAGATCTCAGCTCCTGAGTAGCTAGGACAATAGGTGTGAACTGTTGGCCTGGCATTCTTTTCCTTTTTGCTTTGTTTGTTCATTTATCTGTCTTCAGGAGGACAAGTGGGGGCACAGAAATGGAGGGACAAAGGTTGAACAAATATAGCAGTGGTATTCACTAAATACTGTGAACTCTACAACTTGTGGGTGGGGACAAGAGGGAAAAACTGGGAGAGAGGTAAAGAAGAGGTAACATTGTCCAAAAGAAATGTGTTCATTACCTGATTTATTTATGAAACGGTAACTCCTCTGTACCCCTCACATGTATGTATGTATGTATGCATGTATGTATGTATGTTATGTATGTATGTATTTTTGTTGATCATAAGGCTTGAATTCAGGGCCTGGGCGTTGTCCCTGAGAGCCTTTTACTCAAGGCTAGTGCTCTACCACTTGAACCACAATGCTATTTCTGGCTTTTTTGTGGTTAATTGGAGATAAGAGTCTCACGGACTTTCCTGCTCAGGCTGACTTTGAACTGTAGTCCTTAGAGCTCAACTTCCTGAGTAACTAGGATTATAGGTGTGAGCCACTGGTACCAAGCTGTACATTACCTTTATAATAACAATAAAAATATTAAGAAAAGAAATAAATATTTGAATCTATATCTATCTATATATCCCAGCTTAAATATTAGAATTCAATAATTAAAGGTTGCATAGTTCTAAAGTAGTTTTGTTAGAAGAATGTATGTATGTATGTATGTAAGTATGTGTTTGCTGTTGATGATACTGGGGTTTGAACTCAGTGTCTTGAGCTTTTTAGGCTTGCTTCCTTGTTTGGATTGGCACCTTACCATTTAAGCCACTTTTTCAGCAGGGCTTTTGCTGGTTGTAATGGAGTCTTTCAGAATGGCTTTGAGCATTGATCCTCAGGATCTCAGACTCCTGAGTAGCTAGGATTGGAGTGAGCCAGTGAGACCCATTCAGATGAATTTATTTAAAAAAGATTTAGCTTAGTGAAGCTACATTATATAGTCTCTTGGCTGTGAGAGATTTCAAGAATCATTACAGAACACTAATACAACTTGAAGGAAATTCATTGTATTTACTAACATAATTTATTTTTCACTATTACTAATATAATATTATAGGTCATGTAGTTCAAAGAATTATGGCTGTTTATTGTTTTAAATGTTTAACATCACTGGGGGGAGGTTCAGATAAATGGAGAAAGGAATGATGGGTGAATACAGTCACAATACTCAGTGTACCAATGTGGAAATGAACCAGGCACCTTGAGGGGATGGGTGGGGTTGAGGTGGATGAGAGAAGAGAGAATGAGGGAAGGGTGACACTAATCAAGATGCATTGTAATCATAAATTGATATGTTGAATTAAACCCTTTGTCCAACTACTTAGTATAAAACATGTTTATCATCCATTAATTTACTCAAGAATATTTGCTGAGTTCCAGTAATTCATGTACTTGTGGTGGTTTTATTTCTTTGACTAGTGGAAAATGAAAATCACTGCGACTTTGTTAAGCTCCGGGATGTGCTTCTTTGTACCAACATGGAAGACTTGAAAGAGAAGACCCATAGCTATCACTATGAATGTTACAGGTACCGCAAATTGAAGACAATGGGCTTCACAGATGTGGGCCCTGACAACAAGCCAGTTAGGTGAGTTTAGAATCTGCTACCACACCTAAATAGGTGAGTTAGAAAACCCCCAAACCCACATGGTGCAATGGTTTGTGAATGGAAATGATTGTACTTTTCTCATCTTGATCCAGCCTAATTTTAAAAATCATCTTCAGACTTGGATTGAAATTCTAGGAGTAGCATAATGAAAGAGCTCGTTTATATGCCAAAGTGTGTCTCCAGTGCAGACACAAATGGAAATGTGTGACTAAGATAAAAATATTATTTGTGTGGATATTTGATAACAACAACAACAGCAGCAGCAATAACAGAGGGTTGGGGAAAATAACGAAGCCTTAGCAAAGGATATTGAAGAGTTTGGCAGAGGGAAGTGTTTCAAAGCAGAAGTGCAATGTCTCTGAAGTCAGGTGGAGGAAGTGTGGGCACTGTGCTGGAGAGGGGTGGTGGAGGTAGGGAAGGAAGTGTGGTTGCTGTGCTGAAGAGGGTGGATGGTGGTGGTGGTGGTGGAGGAAGTGTGGGCGCTGTGCTGAAGAGGGGTCGTGGCGGTGTGGAAGGCATGTGAAGCACTACTTATGACCATTTATATAGTTCTTTGAAAAGAGTCCAATTGAACGCTCTTAAGTAAACAATACTTTAAAATATGCTTTGCTGATTTAAAATGTTAAAAAAGCAATGTCATCCCTACAAGGTTGTTTTGAATTTTATTGCCCAAAGATGTGAACAAGTATGTTATAATGGACAGTGTTTGGAACCAAAAAGTCTCTGATATAAATGTTTCAAAATTCTTATTTTATGTAGACATACATATATTGATTTTATTTATTGGGCCCGAATTTTTACATTCCATGGTATAGCAATTTCTACTTTGTGTTTGTCCATGTAGCAGAATATTAGCCGCTGTCATCTTCAGGGCCTAGCACACACATACACACACAGTTTATATGTGATTTGGACTAGCATTTTAACAGGAAAGTAATGACATTTCCTTTTTAGTTTTCAAGAGACATATGAGTTCAAAAGACAAGAGTTCCAGGATCAGTGCCAGCGGGAAGAGGAGGAGTTGAAGCAGAGGTTCATGCAACGCGTGAAGGAGAAGGAGACGGCGTTCAAGGACGCTGAGAGGGAGGCAAGTTCTGTGTTTGCGAGTTTGCGTTGTGCCATCCCCTGGAGCTCAGTCTGCTGTTGAGTTTGTGCATTTGCAATGGCTGTGCAACTTTTTTTTTTTTTCAGATAGGCTTGCTATTATCTGCACTGATAGATATTGCAGAGACTCTGCTTCCCCTCTGTCCTGGCCTGGAGCTGGAGGGCAAGTGGGGATATGTTGTTCCTGGGTCTCTGGATACTACAAGGCTTCTCTGTTGTTGGCTTGTTCTTGCTTTGGCTGTTTGTGGAGGAGCTGGTTAGCACTAGTTGCCTTTATTTGGCTGCCTTGCCTGCCTCCAATGTGACTTTTAGTGGAAAACTGTATAGGAAGAGATTTTTGTGGAAAAAACTGTTGAGAAAGCACACTTCTCTCTCTCTCTCTCTCTCTCTCTCTCTCTCTCTCTCTCTCTCTGTGGATGTTGGGGGGAAAGCTTGCTCAAGACCTGAGTGCTATCCCTAAGCTTCAAGGCTAGTGCTCTACCACTTGAGCTACAGCTGTAGTTCTGGCTTTTTTGGTGTTTCATTGGAGATAAGAGTCTCACAGACTTACTTGCCTGGGGTTGGCTTCTAATCATGATCATGATCAGTAGATCTCAGCTTCCTGAGTAGCTAGGATTACAGATGTCAGCCACCAGTGCCCAGCCAGCTGATTTTTTTTGGTTGGTTGTGGGTCTTTAACTCTGGGCCTGGGCATTGTCCCTCAGCTTTTTAGCTCAAGGCAAACTTTCTACAACTTGAGCCACAGCACCACTTCTGGTTTTCTGGTAGTTTATTGGAGATAAGAATCTCATGGACTTTCCTGGCCTGGGCTGGCTGGCTTTGAACAGTGATCCTCAGATCTCAGCTTCCTGGGTAGCTAGGATTACAGACTTGAGCCAACAGTGCCCAGCCAGACTGACATTTTTTAAAGAAAGACAAGCATCTTCTTTGAGATCACATCTGCACTTTTTTTTCTTTTTACAGCTGCAGGACAAGTTTGAGCACCTTAAAAAGGTTCAACAGGAAGAAATAATGAAACTCGAAGAAGAGAGATCGAAATTGGAGGAAGAAATAATAAATTTTTGTAAAATGAAAGCTGCTTCTGAAGCGCCATACTCCCAGGTGACCAATATGAGGAAGGACAGAGATCGTAAGAAATAGCCATTTCTTACCATTATCTCTGTTGTAGGGTGCTACCATTCTCTATCTACCTGTGGGGTTGTCTTCATAGCATTTAGTTCTCATTGCTCTTCTAATTTTTAATATTTGCTTACATATTGCATATCTTTTTCAAATAGAATGTGAAATACTCAGGAAAATGTTCTGTGACCTAGATTAGTACAAAGATGACACCAGTAAGCATTTTAAAAGATAACCAACCAAAGCATAGAATGTAGTATTACAGTCAGACATGGTTAGATGTATACATGGTTAGCATTGTGTGACTCCAGTAATAACTTTAAAAATTCACATTTCAGTAGAAGCTGTGGGCTTTTGTTGTGGCTAATACACATAAAACATTGCTATGAAAAGAGAAATATGAGGCATATTTTCCTCATCAAATTCTGTTAGTTACAATTTCTTGATAATTTTCATTAACTTTGATTAGAACGCCTTGGCATATTAGAAAAGCTTAGGGTGGGACAAAATGCAATGGGCAGCACTTTGGTGTCAGTATTATGCCTCACAGAGTTTTGGTTATAATTAAAATCATTATCAAAATTATAGAGAGTAAGAGTATTTTTTTAAAAAACTTTTTTTTTGACTTTACATACTGAGCTTCCTTCATTTAAAATGCTTTTCTTAGCAGGATGCTGGTGGCTCACGCCTGTAATCCTAGCTACTCAGAAGGCTGAGATCTGAGGATTATGGTTCGAAGCCAGCCTGGGCAGACAAATCTGAGAGACCCTTATCTCCAATTAACCTGTAAAAAGCTTGACGAGGAGCTGTGGTTCAAGTGGTAGAGCACTAGCCTTGAGCAAAAAAGGTAAGGGACAGCACCAAGTCCCTGAGTTCAAGCTCCAGTACACACACACACACACACACACACACTTTTGTCCAGTTTTCCTATTTAAATACCGTTGAGTTTTTCTGTGACACATTCTTCTAAAATGCAGCCTCTCAGGGAAGTTTACTCCAGCTACATCTAGGTTATGATACAGAGACCTTCTCCTTTTCATAAAAGAAGATACTTTGTTCTTTTTTCCCTTTTTTATCGTGAAAGTACTGTACAGAGGGGTTACAATTACATGGGCAAGATAATGAGTACATTTCTTATCAAGCATTGTAGCCTCCTCCTCTGTTTCCCCTTCCAATCCCTTCCCATCCTCCCCCCCCGCCCCCCCCCTTCCCTACCTCCCACCCCCCCACCAAAGTTGTAAATCTCATTGTTGCAATGGGTCCAGCTGTATCCCTATTTAAACAATTTGTTTTTCCCCTTCCCCTCCACAAATTATACCGACATCAAATACAGTGAAAGCAGGGGTTATACTGTGGGGGAGGGATGTACATAGCAACAAAGAAATAATCTTATAAATGTGTTAGAAACAATCGCATGAAAGAAAAAAACATTTGAATACATATCTTAGGGTTCATTTCTTTAACATCACCTTATCTGACCTTTTCTGCTTGACTCATACATATACTAGATATTGCAAATAAGGGAAACCATGGGACATATGTTTCTTTGGGCCTGGCTTACTTCACTTAATATAATTTTTTCCAAGCCTTTCTATTTCCTAACAAATGGGGCAATGTCATTCTTTCTGATGGAGGCATAGAATTCCATTGTGTATATATACCACATTTTCTTTTTTTTTTTTTTTTAAATTTTATTTTATTTTATTTGAGAACATACTGTACAGAGGGGTTACAATTACATGGTCAGGATAATGCATACATTTCTTACCAAGCATTGCAGCCTTCTCCTTTGTTTACCCTTCACCTCCCTTCCCAGCCTCTCCCCTCCCCCCCACCCAATCATATCCCCCCTCCCCCCCCCCTCCGACATTGTAAAGCTGGTTTTGACATGACATTTTGTACTTCTCATTGTTGCAACAGGTCCACCTGAATCCTTAAACGACTTGTTTGTCCCCATCTCCTCCACATGTTATACTGACATCAAATATAGTGAAAGCAGGGGTTACACTGTGGGGGAGGGACATACAAAGCAACCAAGAAATAATCTTATAAATGCGTTAGAAACACATGCATGAAAGAAACAAAAACATTAAAATACATATTTGAGGGTTCGTTTTCCTAACATCACATTCTCTGACTTTTTCCGCTTGACTCATACCTATACTAGATATTGCAAATAAGGGAAACCATGGGACCTATGTTTCTTTGGGCCTGGCTTACTTCACTTAATATAATTTTTTCCAAGCCTTTCCATTTCCTAACAAATGGGGAAATGTCATTCTTTCTGATGGAGGCATAGAATTCCATTGTGTATATATACCACATTTTCTTGATCCATTCATCTACTGAGGGGCATCTGGGTTGGTTCCATATCTTAGCTATAGTAAATAATGCTGCAATAAACATAGTCGTGCTGGTAGCTTTAGGGTGGTCTTGTTTGTAAACATTTGGGTAAATGCCCAAAAGTGGGATTGCTGGGTCATAGGGGAGCTGTATGTGAAGTCTTTTGAGGAACCTCCATACTGCTTTCCAAAGTGGTTGAACAAGTTTACACTCCCACCAACAATGCAGTAAGGTTCCCTTCTGTCCACATCCCCTCCAGCATCTGTTGTTATTGGAGTTCTTGATTTTTGCCATTCTAACTGGGGTGAGGTGGTATATCAATGTTGTTTTGATTTGCATTTCTTTTATGGCTAGGGAGGTTGAGCATTTCTTCATGTGTCTATTGGCCAAGGATGATATTTTGTTCTGTGGAACTTATCACTGCATACAATTTAAATATAACATTTTAAGAATATTACAATATAGCTTTAACATACTTAAAATTTTAATGTCTAGTGATAATGCCTTTACTTCACAGATGTATTTTACATGCAAAGTAGGAGGAAAGGGAGGAGAATCCACCCTTAGCTTCATAGATGTTTATCATCTGACAGATGTTACAATTTTTGGAGAAAAAAATGTAATATGTAATCTCGTAGTAGAAAAGGGCAATTGTTTTGCTCATTTGTGCATCCATTCTGGGGGCTAGAACAATTTTTGACACATAGTGGATATATTTAGATAAATAAATGAAAACATTAGCTATATTATATACATAGATAGTTGAAATTAAGTACTTAACTTTCTTTCAAAGGAAATGTAGCTTATTACTGCTTTTCAACATGGTTTTGAGTTGTATTGCTGTAAGACATCTTTTCTTTCTTTCATTCTAATCTCATATTGTTGAAATTGTCATCACAAATGTTATTTCATATATAATATCAATAAAATTTACCTTGTGAAAATTATCACTCTTTTGCATTTGCTAACAAACATTTTAGGTACTGGTTTCAGAATACATAGTTTTATCAGAGCTGGACATTTTACCTTAAAATAAACTATGCTATTGTTTTGTAACAAGAAGCATTCATGGCCTGATTTCAGTGGATCCAAACATGACTCACATGGATGATACTGTCTCCCCAGGAGCCTGGGGATGCTTAGGAGGACTGGACCGGCCTCCCAGCTCACTCTTCAATTTGCACCAAGATTCCATTTCTTTCCTATAGTTTAACTGAGCTCTTCTTTGCATGTTCAAATATTAGGACTATTACATAGTACAAGTCAAACATTTGAATGAGGTATTTGGCCTTATGTTTATGGGACATATTTGATATAGACATAGAATAAACATTGAGCAAATATGCATGAGAGATTTGCTGAAATAAATTCAGAGCTGAGTGTTATGGTATAATTTAACTTGCCATGTTAAGCCCTTATTGTGATGGCCTGTGTTAACTAAGAAAAACTCTGGGGTTTCACTCTGCTCAAGATCACAAAAATCAGCTGGGCACTGGTGGCTCATACCTGTAATCCTAGCTACTCAGGAGGCTAAAATGTAAGGATAGTGGTTCAAAGCCAGTCTGGGCAGGAAAAACCATGATGCTCTTATCTCCTATTAACCACCAAAAAGCTATAGTAAAGCTCTGTCTCACATGGTAGAGTGATAACCTTTAGCAAAAAAGCACAGGGACAGCACCTAGGACCTGAATTCATGCCCCAGAATACCCTCCCCCCCTTTCTCTCTCTCACATACACACATACACACAAGATCAGAAAAATCCTAAGCATCACATTTGGCAAATATACACCACCTTTATACTTGGTCTATCCATCCATTTAATAATTCAACATTGCATATGAAGAGCTAGATCTCTCAAACTCTGCGGTCTTGTCATTTGATAATTTGTGAGAGTGGTTCCATGCACTTCAGGGTGTTCAGTAGTAACCTGGACTTTACATTGGATTCCTGTAACAATTGTCCATCCTGCTCCCTCCAGTATTCTGATAGTCACAAATGCTTTCATTCATTGACAATTGCCCAGTGCAGTACAAACTTGCTGTTTACTACTAGTAAATGCCTACACTAGCATTGTCTTTGTGGTATGTTCAGGTTTTAGGGCTAAGATATCCTGAAATTCCCACTTTAATTCAGTTCAATGCTGATCTCCCAATGCTGGGTCCGTGGCGCAGAGAAGCCACACAAGTCCCTATCTTCAGACACCTCTGTAGGGTCTTGGGGTGAGGGTTCTAGAGAAGAACCAGACTGACTTTTGGATTCAGCCTGGTGAAGCCCATTTTCCCACGCTTTCGTCATGATAGCTAGCACACCTCTAAAAGCCAAGCAATATGTAGATCTTTTTTTTTTTTTTTTTTTTTTGTCGGTTGTGGGGCTTGAACTCTGGGCCTGGGTGCTGTCCCTTAGCTCTTCAGCTCAAGGCTAGCGCTCTACTGCTTGAGCCACAGCACCACTTCCGGTTTTTCTGATTGTTTATTGAAGATTAGAGTCTCATGGAGTTTCCTGCCCAGGCTGGCTTTGAACTGTGATCCTCAGATCTCAACCTCCTGAGTAGCTAGGATTAAAGGCATGAGCCACTGGCTCCCAGCTAGATATTTTCTTCCTGGAGATCAGTGCAGTGGGGAAGGGAGGTTGGACCCCCGAAATGAATTCCACTTCTTCAGCTCTAACTCAAGCTCCTGTTCCGGGGTGATTGACACTCCTACCTCA